TTTTAGACTTATTCAAGAGGTTCATGATTTACATGCTGGTATCAGTGATCTTCATGGTAAATTACGACAAGAAGAAAATGCTGTTCAACATTTATTACGTTCAAAATCGACTTTAGAACAAGATTTAGCTATTAAAAATAATTCATTATTTATCGATTCGGATAAAGTAATGGGTATTCGGCGAACATTTACAATGTCATCACCCGAACGAGCTGTTACAACAAATGTATCATTTTCTCATCCACGCGGTCTTATATCCGTCTAAATAAATAATAAAAAAAAAGAAAAGAAAAGAAAACAAAGGTACAGTAATATTTTTAAGTTGATAACTATGAACAATTTGAATATATTTTTCAATAGAAACTTTGTCAACTTCTTCTTGATAAATATTCTTGAGTATTCACTAGTGTGTGTGCACATTGAATCAGATATTAAGTATTTAATGTTTGATAGAAGAAGAAGAAAAAAAAGAAGCAAAACTTGAAAAATACTATAGTTTTCATTTTGTTGTTTGTTTGAAAGTATTACGTTGTATACTTATTAAAATAATTGAAAGTTTTTTTTTATTGACTAAATATTTACAAAAGTATTCAATAGATTCGTTTTCAATCAGCTATGAACAACACAGTCAATGTAGACTTAATTCTGTACACATGATAATGATAGGAAAATGTTCAATTAAATCATAAATCTATTTTATTAATGATTTAGAAGTGAATTTTTAACCAGACAATGCTCATGAAAACCATTTTATCGTAAGAATTTACTACACTAATATAAAAAGTTGAATGATTCTATTTCTAGAAAATCATTCAATATATTCTAGTCAATTATTAGTCACTATTATATTCTAGTATTGTTTATTTTAATTTCAGTATGTCATTGGATACCACTTTGTGTTTTTATTCGTTTGTCTTTCATCTCAAAATGGTGATTATGTGATATGATTGTATATACGAATAAAAATTATTTTTACACTCTTATTTTCATATATGGTACTCTTACTCTATCGTTCACTTAATCGTTTTTATTTTAAATATTTTCTTTGCTATATTTTAAGAAGCTTTACGCTTCTAATCTGATTTAAGAAAAAGATTTTTATCTTTCTCTCATGAATTGTGCGAAATATCACGGATATCGCGGAAAAACACGATTTATTTCATTTTTTATTTTTTATTTTTTAAACAATACCTTACACACACGCACACACTTTTTTGTATAATCAATCTCGTTTTTTATTTATGCAAAAAAGTCAATGTTTGTACTCACATATATATATATATATATATATATACATATACCGAGAGAGAGAGAGATTTTTTTTTGTTTTCCTTTTTTTTTTCTTCATTTACATAAAGCAGAAAAGAAATTGATGTTTATCAGAACTAGTAGGCTTTTTTTTTATTTCTTCTTTGTCCATTGCGTTAAAATTGAAAACAATCAAAACACTTAATACATGCACAAAATGTATTTATTCAAGTTCTCTTTAAAAAATAATGAAAGGTTTTTTTCTCTTTCTTTTACATGTTCTTCGCTATAATAATGATTATTATTGTTTTTTTGTATGAAATTGAAAAAAAAAATACAATTGCTCTAAGTCAAAAATCAACGATCTGTTAATGGATTTCACTACAAAAAAAAAATACATTTTTATTTTATGTTGTCAAGAAACATTATTTTTGAGCTTTAGGCAATATTCGTCTTCAGAAACCGTTCCGCTTCTCCTTCACATGATAAAATAATTGTTAACAAGTTCTCTCCTTTCATAGTTTGTTCAAAAATGTCTACAAGAATTTTTTAATACTAAAATTAATGATACAGAGTGATAAAACAAAAAAGATTGAAAATATCACAATATTGACCATCATTAATATGTAATAGAAAACTAACAGATTCAGAGATATCTCTTTGTACACAAAACATATCTTGTGTGGATATTCTCCACATTTAATATGAATGAAACAATCCAGATATGAAAGAACTAGTGTTCGCTCTCTTATGGCGTAATAGTTATGGAGCCATATGAAATCTATGATGTTGATTTAAATATAACCATTAAGACTGTCCAATATCTGAAACAAAGAGAATAGATGAAGTTACTTGCGTATGACTGATGACATCATAAAATCTTTGCTTTCAATCGTAGGTGAAATCCTCTTATTCAGTACAGAGTACCAGAAAATTGTATAAAAAGTCAAAGAAAATATACGGAGTGACGATGAATAGGCTTTATGCGAGATAAAATCTGATGTAACACGTTATTCGAACGTAATTCTATTTTTATTCATACTTGAGTTATGTTTTTCTGCAGTTCTGTACTTTTTCAATTCATTTTCTCTCCATCTGTGGATCTCAATTAAAAACATTACAACTTTGCTAAGTCTCAATCAATCTAAATATCGGTTAGATAAAAATTTGATATTTCGAGGAAAGCTCTGATGTTTCAGATGTTGGGCAGATTCTATGGTTATATTCAAAACCAACATCATCGCTTCATAACTATTACGCTGAAAGCGAGCGTTTTTCATTCAATATCAATAAATATGACTATCGATTCCCGACCTCTTGCTTTAAATTATTCTATATATTATTCAATTTTTTATCGTTTGTATATCTTTTTTCGAATAAAATATGAACAAATAAACAAATTGGTAATATCTATGAATTTTTCTATCCAAATGAGCGTATGTTTCACATCTGAAAGCGCAATTTCAGTTTTGGTGTAAGGTAAGTCATTTGTTCGAATTAGATTTACTCTCGAAAAAATTAGGTATCCTACAAAATGAAAAAAAGGATATTTAAATTCCTGGAAAATTGGTTTCTCTTAGTGACAAATGCAGATAACTTCTAATAGAAACCCCCGCTAATAGAAACTAATTTTGGTTTCCCGGAATTTAAATAGCCTTTTTCTCGTTTTTTAGGATATCTTTTTTTTTAGCGAGACCGGTGGCGCTGATACTATATAAATATTTCTTTTAGAAAAGGGTTTGAACATATTTTTCTCTCGAGTTTTGAATAGATTTATTTCTACTTATTTGATAGTGACAATGATGTGGTGACTCGACAGTCTGAATATTTTTTGCTATAAACAATAAATCATCAAAAGATAACGCTAGATAAAGTTTATCATATACATTTTATTTAGTAGAAAATATTTTTATTCATTTTGGATTGCTTCTCATGTGTCAGTATGCCGGATGCTCAAGCCCTTATCATGTAGGCAGGGGAAAAACTATTTTTATATTAAGATTGAAGTTGCGGGAAAAAGTAGAGACGAATTGAAAGAAGTAGAATGAGTGTAGGCTTCCTAGATTTCTTGCAGCGAATCTGAGAGACCCCAAAACAAATTTTATGTTCAAAAGTAATGAAAATAGAAAGGGACCACAAGAATTCTAATTTGTGTACTCCACCCAGTAGGTAAGCAGTGGTCACTACTATTAGGGAAAAAAGCATAAAAGATGTTGTCATAAGTAACAAATTGTGCGCGTTTATGGAATGAATATCGATTCACGACAAGTCTGGTGATAGCGTACGAGATCTATTGTTTGAACTTTCCTGGTATTTTAGACAGTTTTCCGAAACTTTTGGAGTATTACAATAGGATCCAGGAAGTTCACCGAATGTTTCTTTTAGAGTACAAATCATATACCTAGTGGTGGATCTAAAGAAAATTTTCAGTGAAAGCGAGCACTGAAAACACAATCAAAAAACCTTTTTTACTGCTAAAAATCCAAATTCTGTACATGTTACCGCACACATTGTAAATCTACCATTGCATATATCACGTAGATTTTAAATAAATCTGCGAATGTTTTTACTGGACTCAATAGTAGTATACACCTAATATTCGTCTGTCAATACTTAGCAGATCTTCGTCAATATACCATAGTCATTCATTCAAGTGTATGAAACTGAGTTCATTCTCAGTGCCTGTCCACTATTGTCTATTCCATATGATAACATGCACATTATTTCTATTAAAATTCTAACAAATTTTGTTCAGAAAAAAAAGAAATACTTCGTCATTGCTATTAAAGTGGTCAAAATTGAGTCTAAATGCAATGTTTCTCAAAATATTCGATAAAACTTGCATGTATATAAAAATACAAAATAGATCAACAGCTCACGCACATATTTTGACATATTGAGTGATGGGAGGTCTTTATTTAATTGATCAAATTGACAATGTTAACTCGTCACTATCTTGCAGAAAAAGAAAAAAAAAAATTGTAAAACAATCAATGTTTAACATTCTCAATCACGTAATAATAATTTTATTCTCGTACTGATTATGATCAGAAAAATCACACTAGGTGTACAGTTATTCTACTCACACTTGAACAATAAATTGGCCACTTGCGTGATGTTCTTCAATTTATATCATTGACGATGATGATGATGATATCGATAGGTGAGAGAGAGAGAGAGAGAGAGAAAGAAACGTGAATTCAAACAGTTTCAATAATGTTTATTAAGAAACATTTTCATATTAAGAAAAATATTCGCACTGTCAATACCAATTAAAATTAGAAGCTGGTTTCCATATTATGCAAAAAATTTTTGGAATCAAATACAATTTATCTATCTGGTACATGTAAAAACCAATTAAACAAGTTAAAAAATTGAAATAATAGAAATTTATTTAATGTTTCAAGTTGAAAATGGAAAATAAAATGGATTTGAGTTATGTGCTCTTACTGTAAACTATAATATACGAAACGTTATCTTCAAAATCGAACAATAGTTCCAACATATCAATTCAAAGGTCAATATGGACATCGTCAACTATTTTTAAATATTCCAACATGATTCTTTCGTTTATTCGACACATTATTTTTTACTAGAAAAAACAAAGAGAATATATACTGTACTATTTATATTAAATAGGAAAATATTAAAAACAAACAGGAAACTGAAAAAATTTCAATACTCTCAAAAAAAAATTCCTATGAACTCTTTTCCGAATAATCTTGAGACAGTAAAATGTTTCATTTATCATTTCACTTACATTCAATTAAACGTCTTTTTCGATTCATTGTTGTTTCTGATGCAAGTATACTATCAATGGAATGTTTAAGTATCGGTCTTTTATTTGTATTTGAGGATGATACAGTTTGGTTGTTTAATGTTAATAGATCATCACTTGTTGTTGCTTGCATCGAATCGGATGTAACTGAATTATTTGATGTCAGTTCTGAATTTGTCATGTATTCATCTTTACTACTACTACTGTTACTATCATCGTTAGTACATGGATGGGATGTCTTTTTCGTTGGTTGAATAACAAATGGATAGAGAATAGAACGAAATGAATTAGTTAATGAAGATGTGTTTTGTCTATTGTTATTCATTGAAAAACATTCTGATAGATGATTATTTGAATAAAAATTTACCATTTTGGATTTTGGAGTAGACGTTGATGAGAGCGAGTGAAATGTAGTGGCAGTAATTTCGGATGTGCGTTTGACAGTACACGGTGATTGTGGATGTCTAAGAGCAGAAACAAATGAACGAACGAAACTTAAAAACAGACTTGTCTCAATTATCTTATAAGCATACCTGTTAAATGATAATGGTGTTTCAGCACTGACTGAAGTATTTGAATAAGAGTTATTTCCTGGTGATGGTAATAACTAGTAAAAGTAGAGAAGAATTGTAATTGTAGCAGTACAAAATCCAGCCATCTTCTATTCCACTAATAATCTGAGTTAGTTCTTAGTTTCTACATTTTTGAATCGGTAAATAAGGTAGAGAGAGATAAAAAGTAATTTATATAACCAAAATTCAACATCTTACAAACTTTCTTCAATGAACAGCATACTATTCACTAATCTGTGTATGTTATTTTATTGGCTAATGACAGAGTAAGCAATTGCATACGTTATATTTTAATATAACTTTTTTCATAAACCGCCTCATAAAGCGAGATGATCTTAGAATTATGTTTTATATGTGTGTACATATAGCAAAAAAACTTGAAGTTTTGATAATCGTAGAGTTTTAAAATTTAAAGTCGATTACAATCGTCGGATCAATTGAACTCACGAAAAGCAGATATAATTTTAATAGAAATCTTATTGAAAAACTAAATACGACAGCCGTAGCTTTAAAAAGCAACTGAGTTTATTGAGAGAATATGAGATAATTACAAATTTTTTATAACGAATGAGAAAGATTTTATCGTATAATTTTCTCTTGTGCAGTTCTGATTAACTAACTACTTATAAGTAGTTGTGTCATCTAAGAAAAGATATCACAGTTCAAAGTGTACTTCCCACTCTTGTGATAGTAAATAAACAGATTTTTTTGCTTTTTTTATAATTTTTCTACAATATTTTTACAAATTCTTTTACATTTAATTCATATGAACGCAATTGCTGTTTAAGGGTACGATAGTCGTAACATTTTTGATAGTATTATGATAATAATAAACAAAAAAATACAAATCTTATACTTAAGATGTTCAAAGCGGTTTGCTAAACAGGCTAAGTAAATCGAACGAGCTAAGCTAAGTAAATCAAGAAAAAAACGATTTTTCGCATCCGTTCAGCTTTAAAAGCTGATATTTTGTAGATATGTTGTACGTGTGAAAAGAAGCAAAGAGTTTAAATTTGGTATTATTAATATATACAGTTGCAAAAATATTTATGTCTGTTAAATCAACTTCTTCCACGAATATTTCTCGGAAATATTAACTGACACTTTTAGTAGAAACTCAAGAATCATACATGCACGTGATTGATTCATTGGAGATTATTCATAAAGCTTTATCATGAATTTGACAGATTTTTCAGTTTTTATCTGCAAGAAATTCGTTGTTTCAGAGATATCATTTGAATTTTTTCATCAACGTAATCGCACAAAATTGAACCTGGGAATCAGAGAAAAGCAGTCTCTGCCAACAGACATTGTCAATGTCCGTATTTTAGAAAAATGAAGATTATGATTTTTATTTTTGAAAAAGAAAAGAATGTATAAGAAAAAGTTCTGCAATTCAATCCAAATGATTAAGATGAACAACTTCATATTCAATAGATATTAGTGAATTATTATGTGAAATTTATAGAAATGAATAATAAATATCAAGACTGAACTCCTCAAAAGTCAGCCTTCCCAGGTTTGGTAGTAGTTCATCCACCTTAAGCTAATGCAAAGTATAAAGCTTCTAGATTTTATTTAATATATCGGCAAGAATTGTAGTTTATAGTTTCTTTTCGATAAGTGTAGGAAGTCTCTCTGAAGTCACACATGTTTGAGAACAATTCAGAAATAATCTACATCTGAGATATTAGAAGAATAACTTTGCATCAACTAACAATATTTAAAATAAGCTAGAAAAACTTACTTTATTTCGTCCATTCACTGAACCCGGTTTTATTGAACCAGTTTCATAAAATCTCGTAAGAATTTTTGACACACACCCATGTGAGACAAGTAATTGTCGACTAATATCACACGGTCTTATACCCATAAGAGCCAATTCTACAATTTGTCGACGAACATGATGGGGTAGAGGACGACCATTCACAAATACTCCACCCAATTGATTAACTCCAGCTTGTCCTATATCATATAAATAAAAATACGATTATGTGTTCCATTCGAATGAAAATGATGTAATACTTACCAATACCAGGTACATACATTTTACTTTTCATCTCAAGTGTCAGTTTGATTATTTTCGAAACATTCAAAAAAACTGTCAGTTTTAAAAGTATCCGACTGTGAATAAAAAAAAACTCACCGATTTACATTTCTTTGCGAATGATGTGCATCGCTAATTATGAAAGAGTAATATTTTTCTTCGTTCTTATACTACTGGCTCATTTTATTTATCGCATACAAATTTTATTGGTTTATTACATACTATGTGTAAAAAATAGTTTTTTCGTTCATTCTTTCTCCGAATTACACCCACATCTAGACATTTTGAGTCAAAACTAATCACAACATATAGATCGACTTGACATAATTATGTAGAATGAGCAATTGTGACCACATTAACAACCTTTAAACAAACAACAAGTTAGTTTTCGAAAATAAGCTCACAAAAAACTTTCTCTTATCATAAAAAGACATGAAACTAGTGAAGTATAGGCTACACCAAGAACATAAATATCTTTGTGCTATCGAAATAATATATCCTTTTGAATATTAATACATAAAATAATGATAGTATCTTCTGAGACTTATTTTGTAGGAAGAACTGAATAAAAGCTATCCTACAATCAAATGAATTCAGATTTCCGGTATATTAAATTAACACTTGATGTTGAAAAACACCATAGTGGGAGAGTTTAGGAAAATCTAGAAAAATATCTATTTCTCTCTCATACGAAGAAGAGTATTAGTATCACTCTCTGTCGTGTTCGTTGATGACTTACTAATTTTGATATTTTGTATCATACGGTGACATGAAGATCTCATTAAGTTTATATACAAATGATAAATACGCTCTGAATTCTAAAAATACCCGATTGAAAATAGGACAGGATAAATTAGTTCATCCGTCTCAGAATAAGTCCGTTGGTTATTTTGCAACCAACTCATGTTGTCGTAGCATTAGTACCGTTTTACTTTTTTGAGTATAGATCTACTGTTTGATTTTTACAAGAATTACAAATGGAAAAAAACAAAAATTACAGATGAATCGAGAAGATACCGCCTGTTGGATATTATTGTAAGATCATGTCAATGGTCTCTGTAAATAAAAATAAAAATGATGGGCTAGTTCTTTTTAGAGAAATCATTGTTCTTCATATACGAGTGTTGGATGCATAAAAGAGATCCTAGATTTCTTCGTCAATTATAGAAGTAGGACGGCTGGCAGAAATAAACATTTTAAACTAAGACGAATGAAAATAAATAAGACAGTCATAATAGTGAGATGGATAGCGGAAGTCAGATTTATCTTATGGTGTATTTTTTAACTTTTTTAACTTAGAGTAGGATGTAGCTTCTAAAGAACGGGATCAGAACTTGAAAAAAACCAGTCAAATGTCCAGTTTTTAGTAAAATATCTGTTTATCAATAGATTCAATATAAATTTTAAAAGTCTTAGTCAAAAGACACAGAGTAGAACTAGGACTCTAGAATTTGTACAGAGTGTAAAATTAGCTGTCAAGAACAACTTTCGTCTGCACTTGTGTTAATCGACTGCAATTTATTCAACTCCGAAAGCCATGTATGATTTATTTGTAGTATTGATACGAACCTTTATTGCATTTTTGAAAGATTTCTCTCCTTATGTTCGCATCCATAATGTCTATTCTCTAAAACGTCTACAAAAAATCTGTGATCTCTCGTACAATTGAAAACAAGACTGATCTTACAATAATAGGCAGTCTTGCAAGATTTGTATAGAATCTCTAATCAGTTTGAGATTTAGATTGTAAGTACAAATTAAAATGATCTCAGCCAAATATAACGGTCATACTGTCGTTATCGATTTATAATAATCGAGCTATAAAAGGAGTTTACACAGTTATAAATTGTCTCAAACATGTTTTCGGTATATTATTAGAATTCTTTTAAGTTTAACTGCAACAGATGCACTCACTACCGCTAAAATGTATGTGCCTCTTCACTGTGGAAAAAAGTCTTAACTTTTCTTCTTCTCCCTTTCTTTTCATGTTTAATAGTTTTCTTTTCACTATAACAAAAGAACAAACATATAATATCTTTTTAAAAGTGAAATATTGTTGCTAGTGATGGTAGATGACTTTCTGCCTTATTGGCTATCAAATTACATCGAACCGAACCAGATTCTTTTCTATCACAGCGTTTTGCATCATTGCTCATACATTAGTGTGTCGCGCGTACAACAACAAGAAAAAAAAGAAAGAATTTTTACTTAACTGACAAGTTAAAAAACCACCTTTTCACAAACACATGCAGAGCAGAACGAGAGAATAGAGAAAAAATGAGCAATAATGATTTGTAGATGAAAAAAAAGAGAGAAGAAATCATCTATTCTTCTTAAAACTGTCACTATGAAAATGTTCTGTTTTCAAAGAGAATACCGCCGCATAGTTGAATAGACGACGACGACTGATGCTTTATATACCATTGTTACATTGAAAACTATTCACCATATTTGTTATTGCTGTTATCAGGCAGATTATTAGTAATGATACTCTTATTGTGATGATATCAATAAGACGATATAGACCGCACTTACACAAAACAATTTAACTTTACTGAAACAAACCGCTGATTATACCAGTATCATTATCACTGATAAGAAAACTCATTAAATAATTGCATTTCGGCTCTATTTCAGTTTCTGAAGAACCAGCCATCACCTGCTTTAGACGGAAATAAGTTGTTCAACGTTTCTTTTTCTATCATGCATGTAGAGTGCGTGACTGTCGTTTGAAGATCACCAAAAAACGGAAATCAGCTGTAAAAACGGAACGCTTTGCTGCCCACCCAATCACTACTACTTATATGAAAGAAAAAGAATTGAACAATCATTATACAAAATTATTTTTTTAGAAGATAATCGTTTTGTGAGCTAGTATATATGGTACGAGTAATAGTCTATACAATAAATTGACGTACTTCTTCGTTCGCTGAATCTTTCCTTTTCTTTAAAACTCAAATTCAGTTTAAATTTAATAATAACACAATGACTTATTCTATTGAGGAAAGATTAACAGTTTGGAAATTATATTGCGCACTATCATTATTTAAATATGAATACTTGATTGTTAATGCAGCTGTTTTGAACTTCATTTTTCTTATTAAATACGAATACAATGCTAATAAATCGCAGGATAAACGATCTGTGAGGATTAAACAAAATATGTAGTTTAGATATTAAAATGTGCACTTTGTATTATTATAGATCAAGTCTACAGTTTTAGATGTAAGAGATTGAAAGTGATAAATGAAATGAGAGCTCAGTACGGCTTTATTAAATGCATAAAGGGATACCCTGTACAGCAAAATTAGCCATAAAATTGTTAGTTGAAACAAAGACTTATTTATGTTGACACATGTGTTTAGCTTTGCAGAGTATGTGTCTCATGAGGTAGATTCTTAAATGTTTCCCATAGGATTCTTCAAACCGTCTAAAAACCCACACTTTTCTAGAAGATCCTAGCAGAATCGCGTTGAATTTTTTGACAAACCGCACCACCATGTAGAGAAAAGTAACTTCTTCAAAATAAGATGTTGTGCAGATCAGTATGACATTTATTCGTCAAGTTATGACTGATTTATTCCACTTCTCAAAAACATCTGAACTACATCAGTTAAAATTTGTTAATTAGCAGTACGCAGTATTGCAAAGCAGTCTTCCGTATGTTAAATTATACAATGATAATTTTTCTTTTGTTCAAAAGAGAAGAGAAAACTGCATTGAACACTGAGAGGAGAGTTTTTAATATAAACTCTTGTTTTCTGAAAACTGATTTGCTTTCATTTAAAGCCATCTCGATATTTCTAACTCGTAGACTACAGAAATTGTCTTTCATATCAGATGATTATATTTTGTTTATTGTTTTCTCAAATTTCGGGAACGGTTATAGGTAGAAAGTCGAAAACTATATATCAAGTATTATTGTGTATCATGTTTGCTGAAATTGTTGTGAAAATCACATATGAAATAAAAAAGGTTTTTTAGTTAGTGAGCGTTCCCTTTAATTGATAATGATCTTTCACTTCCAGTTCCCTATCCAAAAATCTTCTTAGCAAAATTGTCTATTATCGGTATGAAAAATCATGAGTTGTTTAAAAAACTTGCTAAAAATCTTATGTATAAATGTCAAGCGTTTGAATGAACATCGTTAGACGGATAATAATACACTTTTTGATTATGAATTGTTTACCTTCTGAAAGTATCAGTACTCTTTATATTCCTTTCTTTTCTGATCTTTGAGCATCGTATACGAATTATGATGATGGTGAGCAATGCATGTGTGAACAAAAATAATTTTCTCACATGTTTCTGATCATTAATTTAATCATTGTAGAACCGTAACGGCTCATTAAATACTTTCTTTTATACCGATGATATTTTTTCTTATGTATTGCACAGATTGAAAGAAAGAAAATACGTGACGAGAATGAGACTAAAAAGTGATTGTCTCTATTAACACTACAGATTTATGTTGAACACACCTATCAACATATGTTGCTATTTCTTATGACACCACTTGCTATTTTAAACATATCTGTTATTATTATTATTAGAATATAAGAAAAAAGAGAAAATAACAACAATAATGATTAACAAATTAATTAATTTGTTCGAAGCATAATTAGTTCTTCTTTTGTTTCATTACCTATTCTCATTTGACAACTACCTACAATTCGAAATTGAAATTTTTTAAAAAAACGAATAGCTCGATTATTGGTGTTATCCATAAGGATACTAAACCAAAGTGCTTGTGAGGTAAATTCAACTTGTGCTAAACATTTATTCATTAGACATTGTGCAACACCTTTGCCACGATAATTTGACACAACATTGAAGCGCATGATTTCTAGTGAGATTGAGGTTGACGATACTTGTTCACTAACACATAATGGCGGCGAACTATTTCGCAGTTGTACATAACCAATAATTGACTCATCTTCTCCATCGACATAGGCAATTAATGTTCGTATCATTGGATTAGTAATTTCAGTTAATTGAATCGTAGGACTAAAATTTTCTGCTAAATAAATCATCATGTTTTCTTGTGCGATAGTAGTAGGATATGTTTCACGAAATATTGAATCGGCAATTAATGATAATTCAGCAGCATCGGCAGCTGTTGCTTCTCGTACAAGAATTACAGGATTCGATTTATCAGCAGAGGTCTTTAATTGCTGCTGTTGTTGATGTTCTTGTTGCGTTTCTGAGCTTAACTCAGAAATGTCTTTGGTCAGAGGCGATGTTTTAGAGTTAGATGGCGTATTAAAATTGGTGAATAAACTTATTGGTAGTTGAGCTGGATGTTGCAATTCGAAAGAGGGACCTGTTTTCTGGTATGATGAATCTGTAGCTTCTTCATGAGATTTCGTCGATGTGAACGGCTGTGACTTTTCAAATTCGTATTTGGGCAAAAATTGTTGAATAATATAGATCTAAAGAGAAAAAATGATGTATTTTATAAAATTAAATCGTTCAGGTTGATATTGATATTTAAAATATCATTGATAGAACAATTAAACTTAGCTTTCGAATCAATGATATGAAAAATGTAATACTGAAAACAGCAGAAAAGAACCGGGTATGAAATTCTATGTTTACCATGTGTTAATCATCGAAACTCTTCTTTTTCTTCTTTGCCTTTCTCATAAACGTTGGACATAATAAAGATACCAGTAGGACTGTAAAAGTTGCCGTTGCATTGTTTTAACGCTAACTGTCTTTTCAGTTACCGTTGAAATAACGGTAACTATCAGTTAGTTAACTTTGTGGTAACTATTTCTTAATTATGGCAGACATATTCAGGCAGCGGCTTAAAATGGGTTCCAAAATCGTTAGTTTTCCACTAAAACTGTTGAAACTTTCCTAAATGACATGATTTTGATTGGCACACACGTGCCAGTCGATCAAACTAATCGAAATTATATAACTTCAATGTTTTGTAACTGCGGTTTTTAAGGTCTCTGGAGATCTCAGCATCTACAGCCAGCTTGAGAAATCTTTTTGTTTTCATCAACGAAATTAGACTACAAAACCATGCCATTTATGAAAGTTTCAACAGTTTTAGTGGAAACTAACGATTTTGGAAGTAGTGGCATAACCAGGAATCCGTGGGTGGTAGGGCAGTGCCCCACGACCTCTAAAAAAATCCATCCACGATAGTTTAAATCTTTTCCACAACTGAAATACAGTTACTCAATTCTCACTTTCTTAAGAGAAAGACAGTACACTGTATCTGCACTTTTATTAAGTGAAATTATGTGAGCAAAAGAGAAAAAGAAAATGAAATAAATAAACAAATAATAGTTATTTCTACATTGTTCGACCATCTCACCAATAAAAAAAAATTAAAGTTTGTTTAGAGTTAAAGAAAAGTGCTTTTTCATATTCAGCACAATTGATAACCTGGAAAATTTTCTATTTTTAGCGAGGGGTACCGTCAAAAAGTTAAGAAAAATTTTCAAACAAATTGACGCCAAAAAATCCCCATGGTAAAATTAAACAATTTTAAAAATTTTTCTTAACTTTTTGTCGGTACCCCTCGCTAAGAATAGAAAATTTTCGAGGTTATCAAGTGTGCTGAATACGAAAAAGCACTTTGCTTTAATTCTAAATGAACTTTAATTTTTTGTCGGTGATATGAAAAATCTTAGTGGAAATAATTATTTTTTGTTTCTTTCGGTGCCCGGGCAAAGACTGCCGGTGGCCGGGCGGCGCCCGGTCTAGCCCACCCCTGGTTACCCCACTATTTGGAAGCCATTTTAAGCCGCTGCCTGAATATTTCTGCCATACTTAAAAAATAGTTACTACAAAGTTAACTAACTGATAGTTACCGTTATTTCAACGGTAGCTGGAAACGCAGTTACCGTTGTTTTAACGATAACTGACTTTTTGAATTAACGAGCAAAAATAGGAAGATAGTTAATAGAGTTTTAACAGCAGCCATACGATTCCTTTTACGTACACCTTTATTCGTCAAATAGACACAATAAAGTTACAAAAGTGACTGAATAAAAGTGTACGTAAAAATCGTATAGCTGCTATTAAAACTCTATTGATAAGTGCATAAACTGATGTCCTCCAGCATTGGCAAACAACTCTGACATTATCTTTCTTTTCGTTGTGACAAGGAACTAATTGGAAAAACTAGCAAAATCTTGCAATCAGAAAGTCTTTAATGGCAAAAAGCTTATTTAACGAAATTTGGAGGGAAAGTGGGACTTTAATATAAAATGTCTCACCGATATGTGCACTCTAAAAACGAACCATCATACGATATGCATCTTACTTCTTTTCTTCTGTTTACTCTGAGACAGAAGAATCGAGCACTCTTATTCTAGGTCTAAGATGTAAGTCTAAGATGCTCACTCTCTGTACGAGCTGTATTCTTCTTATCTCTACTACAGACGGAGAAATCAATCATTTCTTCTCTTTTGCTTTTATCACTCTTCGAAATATCTCTTCATTTCACTCTCAACCTCTAAGATAGCTCAGTTCTCTCTTCGATACTATCATAATTTCACTCACTGAGATCATATACTCCTTCTAACTACGGCTACGATCTTATTTTCTTTTGTCGTATTTTAAGATAAAGACCGTAAACGAATTCGCAACCGATCTACGCCTCTTATTTTAAGACATTTTCCAGAGTGTTATAAATACATTCTGTCTTTAGATTAGGTAGAATGGTAGGTAGAATCTAAATGCATTTACCAGATCAGATTGTAATACGTGAAAGTGTTTCGAGGGGCTACATATTACATAACGTTTCGGTGATGGATTATTATTACTTGGATCCAATGTAATATTGTCACGATAACGATATAAGCCAAGACATAACCAGTCTTTTTGTAGTAATAAATTTACAAATAAATCACCGTATGTTGGGTTCTATAAATGAGAATATGTCCATGATATTTAACATAAGATTCGTCTTTTTTAAATAATTCTTACGTCTGTCCAAAATGTACTGTGAAAAATTTTAATAGCTGAATTTTTCCGTTTTTCGTTTTGTACAATATCCGACGCAGATACGAGTACAACACGTGGTCGACATCTATTATCAAGTACTTCTTTTGAATTTGTTCCTTGTGTCATTCCAGCACCCTCAGCTAATATTCTTTCCAGCTCGGGAGTAGCTCCTCCCGTAATCAGTGCTAAAAAGAAGCTCGTTATATGTTATAAAAAGAAGTTATTCGTTTTTACCTCGTAAAATAGTTAACGCATTTTCATTAAAATAAGTCTAAAATATTAGAAAGAAACATTGGACAATCTTAGTATTCACTAATGTTTCACATCTCACACGCTATACCGCGCTCATTAGAGAGTCCAAAACGCTAATGGCAAATGATGTACCACACGCAAATGGTTGAGTCATATAAAGTTCAATATTTGGATCATCTTCATCATCTTGATCAAGAAAAACCACGTTTGAATCATTTTCTAGAACAAAAAGAACACAACGTATAGTGAGAATAAATGGCACATGCCTATTTCATGAAATTTCAAAAACTTCATCTCGTATCTAATTTTTATTTTCAGAAACTTTATTATAAAGTCATAGATTAAATAAAAATATAAGATCAGGACCCTATACTGAAGAGTACGATAAGGACATATCAGTAGTGTATATGGCAATAGATTTACTCACGCGTTACCCAAGACTCTTGGGTTAAATGAGACGAAGAAATATTAGATAATCCAAAACAATGCTGCAGTGCTAGTAATAGCATGGATCTCTGTGAAATTTACAGCGTAGACTATGATCGCTAGAGAAAATTGAGTGAATGGATATTAATTTCCACTTTCACCATTAACAGTACTGTAGTTTTATGACGTTAACTAGCCTACAAGTATTGGATAAGGTATGCATGCAACTGGCGCATCATTACTCTATCCAACCAAAAAATAAAATATCACAAATTCCACTTTACGTTTTTACATTTTTATTTTCCCAGAGTAAGACCGTAAGAGAGTTATTTTTTGAGAAAATAATAATATTAATACTGTTTGCAAATATAACAAGTCCTCACTTAGTTCAGTAATCAACGGTATGCTTGTGCCACGTAATTTTCCATTTATATTGGAATCTTTTGTTCTCTTTAAACACAAATTTTCTTCAAAATTCATTGCTTTTATATTTAACGAACATAATATGGCCGATTTATCTGTCAAATATCTATCATGAGATGATGATTTCATGTCATAATCACGTTGTGGTTGAGATGATGAGAGTATAACACACATATCACATAATTCAATGTTAACTGCCCTTAGAGCAGCTCGATCATTTGGTGAACCCTAAAATTAAGTATAGAGTAGTAAGTAATATTTATACTAGTTTAAGAATAACCTCTTACTTCGATAATATAAAGTTTTGGAAAATTACATATATGTTTCCATTCTTTTTTTAAAAATACACTATTACCAACAAATACGATAGGTTTCAATTCATATTCTTCGAAATTACTTGCACGTAGTGGCATAACAAAATTTCTTAAACCAATTACTGGTGAATTTTCTCTAGCAAATATACAACAAATAACATGATTCGATAATTCACACTTCATTCGAGAATCCTAAAAGGAATAAATAATTCCTTTTAAATTTTAATATATCTGGTGTAAAATGAATAATATTTTACTATTGTCTGTTGTTCAATTTCTTGTGTTGGACACCAATAGAACATTCCGGTTGTATCAAAACAAAATTCAAGAGGCAAATTTGATACTGGTTTTCTAAATGCAATAAATAATATTTATAAGATATCAAAAAAGTATCATTCATTCATCAAATCAACTACCTTTCAGAAGTGTCCAAATGTACTGTGGATAGTTCGCGTCCTATTTAAGAAGGCAAAAAAGATATTTTTATATAGAAAATGAAGGACACTAGATAGAAATACGCACTAGGTTTTAATGCAGCAAAATTTGTTACTAAAAATTGCAATCGTTAAGTTTTTTTCTTGTATAAATATGAGAATATATTCAACTCACGTTCAATTTGATAATGCGAACATTTTCGAATATTTTCTGGAGGTTCATTTTGGTGACAAAATTGACAATAGTAACGAGCTCTACAACATACAAATAAGAGATGAAACTAATATGTTTAAGAAAAAAATTTTCTGTCAATTTACCTTGACGCTTCTTCTGAACTACCAGCAAGAAAAAAACCACGTGTTATATTAGAAATTCGATAATATTTTGATGTACTATCAGGATTAATAGCTAAACGTCGTGTACCATTATCTTCACAAACTTCGATGGCAAATAATAGAATATTCAATTCGACAAAGCAAAATCTATATAAAGATAACAATTGACATATGTGTCGCTTCGATAATGAGCTAACAAAAGAAAAAACATTTACTTAGCGGCTTCACTAAAACTTTTTAAATCCTGAACAAAATAATTGGATAATGTTTCTGTATACATTTCAAGTGATGCACCACGAAGATATTGTTGAAGCCAATCAGGTCGATCTGTTGCAGGTTGCTAATAGAAAACAAAATATATTTTAATAGAAAATCATTATATAACCTAAGAAATAAAAGCTTTTTTAAAACTAGTTTAAATACACAACATTTTTCAATCACAGGTTTATTTCACAATATACATTCACAGAGGCTTAACATACTATGTAAGAACTCGTTCAACAATTTCTATTTAATTAAAGGGAAGACAATTTAACTAATTTCTAAGTATTTAACTGTAGCATGCAAGTATATTAATGTGAGTTTCATTCGCAACATCAATAGAACAACTGACCTTTGACAAAGTAGTGTCATCAATCTGGAAATTCAATAGAAAAATATGTATTTCTGATCTCAATGATATTAAATATACTATCCATTTCACAAACAAATGAGCGCAGATATTTTTTAAATAAGTTGACAACGGATAACGATAGAGACTTGCAGTTTTCACCATTCGAAATTTTCCATTACAATTGTATTTTAAAAATCTTTTTTCATTCAGTTTTTCTCATGATGTCTGAAAAACCTATTTAGATCTCCAAAAAATCATTTGGTTATCTTTTATGAGTAGATACTCTCAAGTGCTGCGTTCAAAATGGCAGTCAAGTGATGATATCTTTCCAGGTTTTTAGTAATTTAAGTAGCGAAGCGTATTTGTTAAGATCCTTGATCTTTTAATTCTGATCAAAGATAACCTTAAAAATACATGTCATATATTTAATCGACCACACGGTATCTCAAGTACTTTGTTTTTTTGCATGAAGAAAAACCCAAAAAATGTCGTTGAACTCAAGTTCTACTCAAATACCTTCGCCTGACCACACTCACGATAGGCTATTTGGAGTCTTCTAGTCTACTTCAGATAATCAAATGTACTTTTGGTGTATGTCTGAAATGTACTTTTAATGAAAACATAGCATTAGGTCTTCTCTTTCTAATAGTAAAAACTGCAAGCCTCTATCGCTTTTCGTTGTCGAGTTATTCAAAAATTCGCGTCTCTTCAGTTATGAAATTAATAGTATATTTAACGTTATAAAGATCGTTGATTATCACCTACCTCTCTATACGATCTCATGGCAAAGATATTGGCGACCATTGTTGAGAATCCGGGATTTAAACAACTTTCAGCAATTAATCCCAATTTTAATTCTAAAATATCAAAAAATCTAGGTCTTCGAGATTGTCTGTGGTCAAAATTGAATGTTTAGAACATGGTATAAGCTAATTTATAGTTAATGCTACTGCAGCAATGTTCATAAATACACTCGATAGCTACAGTCTCATAGATACCTGCAATACAAACAGCTTCGTCGAGATTATTGTTCCATGAAGGTATATTCATTAAGTGCATCTTAAATTGAATAAAAACAATTACTGAAAGCAAATAAGTCGTGTGTTTATCATACTTTATTATGATATTGCAATAATTGCACGATGATTTTAGCCTCCGGATGATAATTTTTAATGCTAATTACTCGCATTATATTACTGGCATCCTCTCCATCCGGATCACTTGCATCTTTATTTGCTAATATCAAAATTGTTTCGCATCGTTTTATCTAATAGAATCTGTCAGTTTTAGTTATATCGTTATTGTTACTCCATTGCAACATACTTTTATTCGTTGAAGATCAACAGGATCCATTACGGTTGCATCAAAGTATTTTACACGAGTAAAATGCCGCTTTAATAATGCTTGAAATTCAAAATCCACTGTTTGTTTCCTGTAGAAAGAGTTTAACCGTGGCTAATGATATTTGTAACAGACAGTATACAAACTAACTTGTCAACAATAAGTACATCAGCATCATAAAATTCATCACTGTTAATACGGTCTTCATGTAAAAAATCTTTAAGAAAGTTTTCAACCGATGTAAATGTTATATGGCCACATACAATGACAAACCTAAAAATAACAATTATTTTCTATTTCACACTAATAATATAACGAGAAAACTTTCCCAAGTGTTATAAGATTTTCTAATAAGAAGCTTTTTAGATTTTTAGCAGTAATTCTGAATGTTGATCTAACTGTCTGGATGATCCAGTCCTTCCTACGCAGGAATGCTGGAGATCCATTAAGCATTTTTGGCAGAACGGAGTGTGGAGCTCATCGGGTTACGTGTGTGAATTCCAAAATTACCAAACAAGTTTTAACAACAGTATAAGATCTTTGGTGAAATAAAGGCTGAAAAGTTCGGATTTTTGCTGTGGTTGCAATTCAAGATCTTATACTGTTGTTAAAACTTGTTTGATAGTTCTGGAATTCAAACACGTAACTGGATGAGCTTTAATTATGATCCGTTCTGCCAAAAATGCTTGATGGCTCTCCAGCATTCCTACGCAGGGATCTGAATAGGAAGTGAAGTTTGGAGGGGGGGATGTAGAAAATTTTCTATGGATCGCGCGACCAAAAAACAAAAAAAGTTTTTAGTTCTACTGGGAGAAAGTGAAAAACTTTTATTTTCGAGGGGAGGAGCATGGAAAACTCAGACCTCTGCTCTTACATAGGAAGGGTTGGACCGCCCAGAAGGTTAGATCAACATTCAGAATTACTGCTAAAAATCTAAAAAAACATCTTATTAGAAAATCGTATGGTCGCCTGAAAAGGTTATCTAGTCGAAGACAGTGGACGCCGTTCTAGAGTTGTAATTACTTTTTTCCATGTTCACATTTATATTCACCACCATATTTTGACTTATTGGAAAATATCTCAGCCAATTCTGGAATTGCACTTGCAAATAAGGCCTATATTATTTAAAGGATAAAAACAACATGTAAACATTAAGTGAATATTATAAAATCATGTATGCAGAACATACCAAACCACAGGTAATGAAAACGATGATAAAACATTGACCAACGTTCTAAAAATATTTTTGATAACTGTTAATAAAGTGTTTTCAATTTGAACAAATATTTCACAAACAAAAACATACTGAATACTACTACGAACTGTTCTCAAGTAAAAATCTCCATATCCAACAGTGCTAGAAGGGGAAAAGAAAAATCATGAGTATGAGAGATGTAACATCATAATCAACATACCTCATAGTAACAATCAAAAAGTAAACACATTGAAAATAGGTTATTGTTTGGGAGTTTGAATAATTTTGAAAAAAATCACCAGAATTCTCAATCTGTAAGCAACGATATAAAACAGAGAGAATTCTCAAGCATTAGAAAATAATGGCGTAGAAATACGCACCAGATGCACAAATCCCGCTGCACTAAGCCAAACAGTAAGAACGAGACAAAACATTCGTGATAAACGAATTGAATTGCTACTTTTTAATATATGTAAAAATTGCAATGTTTCCGGTATATTCATAATACGAGCAATACGAACAAATCTCATTCCTAAAAATAAAAATGCATATATCTCCCAACATTAGTCTATTTTACTGCTGCACCACTGACCAATCCAATTTCTACCAAGCACAATGGCTGTAAATGATGGAGGTATAGTGAAATAGTCGACAAACGAATAAATATCCAAGCACCAAAATTTTAATTTATCTTGTGCGGCAACAAACTATCAATTAGAAAAAAATAGAAAGAGCATAGATTGTAGATTCTAAATATTTTATACTTACACGAAGAAAAAAATAAAACAAGAAAAATACATTACATGCCAAATCGATCTGTTGCGAGAGATTTTCATTCCAATTTCGACACGATTCTATGTGTCTATAAGAGGGACAAAAAAAAAAAGGAATATTATTCTAATTGATAATATATTAATAAACATACTGAGTTGTAACATCGTAAAAATATATCACAAGTGATGTCAAACTCAATATCACCACAGTGGTAACCTAATCAAAAAGAGATAAACAGATCAATAGAACTATATTCATATAAAATTACCAAAATTTTCCCGGGTGTTTGTTGTCCTGATATTAATTTGGTAGCTTGTTCTTTGATCACTGTGGCCCAATTACGTTCAATAAGATCGTACGGTTGAATGGGATCCCGTTTGTCATTCTAAAGACAAAAAGGTTAACGTAAAAAAGAAATCGAGAAAACTGTGAATATCTTTCTAATGAAAAATTTTATATTTTATACATGCCTCAATAGTTATTGACAGACGTTTTCGAGCAAAAATGAATGCTGCTAATCTCCATGTCAGAATACAGAATACACCAAGAATAAACGTTACCAAACTCGATAATAAAAATGCAAACCAATAACGTTCACCGTTACAATCAGGATCTAAACTATGTTCATTAGTCATGTTTATTCAACTATTTATTCATTTATATGTTTGTTTAACATGTGTATATGGGCGAAATCGTACCAACAACTATTTTATGATAAAACTATTGGAAATCTAGTACGAAGAAAAAGCAAAATATATAATGAATGTGCTGATGATAGATAAGCACGTTAAAATAACTTCATTGTGATGATTAAATATAATTAGATGGAAAAAAAATAAGAGCGGAAATTTACTTATAGGCGTAGTTAACGTAATTTATGACAACTTCATAACTTTCCTTTCATCACGTAATAGTGCACAATAATAATTTAGATTTTATAGTGAAAGATATTTTTGCTAGAAATTCCAGGCGCCTCCTCCTGTCACAAACTGATTTGGTAAATGCAACGTTGATATGGATGAAACTCTTGAGCAATGTCGATCTTATTGAAGTAGAGTTACGATAAAGTTTTTAAGTCTTCATTTTTGGACGTTTAGGAGATGTTGTTAGAATATAGGTGAGATGGTTTACAAAACTCAGTTGTGAGAAAAGTTTAATATGCCATACTCTTCGTACAATTTAGTTTTTACGAAAAGAGGATCAAAAACCCGGTTTTTCACCGGTACATGCATGCCTATTGGTGAATAAGACGGTTTACGAAAATCTGTCTTGTTTTATTATGACTTTTAGAAAACTTTTTAAAAAGTTTTGAAAAATTGCACTCGTAGTCAAAATTGGTATAGTTCCTAATAGTATATATTCTAGGGTATTTATATGCTTGTCTTAATATTCACTTTTTGCCAAAAATTTGTATTTCTGACAGGAAACACAGCTTTGAAGTAATGTTCTTTCTTAAAGAATTATGTAGTACGTAGTACAACTTGAAATGAAGAATATTTCAGTTGCGTGTACTAAGACAGATGCCATAATGACCTTTCGCTATTCTTATTCTTATTATTTTTGCACTAACGTTAGTTCGTAGCGAATAAGACATCTACTAAATTATACGTAAATAATCAAGCCATATACTATCATCTATCAGTCATCATCCAGCACGAAAAACCTTAAAAATAGACGACCATATAGTGAGAAAGTAAAATAATCTTTGACTTTAATCACTAGAGACTCAAGCGCTCTTATACTTATACTGATTGCAAAACAAAAAGATGAATAAGTATTTGGTCCAGAAATCCCTGGGCGAATTTCCACTTTCTAGAAAATCGATCGAATTTCTATAAATAACTCCCAAGGAGCCAAATTCGATATCGATTTTCTAGTTTATAGAAAATCAAATTTATGGAAATTCAAGTTGATTTTCTATAAAGTAGAAAATCAACATTTTCTAGAAAATTGGAAATTCATCCAGGAATTTCTATAAACTAGAAAATCCCCGGCGATTTTTTGATCGATTTTCTATAAACTGGAAAAAATAATTCAAGATTACAGTGTAGAATATGTGCAGTGGCCAGTGGTTATTGTGCTCCATTCTCATAGTGTGAACGTTATCATTCTCTGTTCAATGAGCACAAGGAATAATAACACACTCTCACGATGTGGACTGAATTGTACTACTTGTAGTTAAGTCACTCTATCTTTCTCGAAGGAAACCACCTGATGAGACCTTTAAGAAAGACTGAAACGGGCCATGGTATCTTCCTTTGATTCTTTCAAAAAATGAGTTCTGTTTGAGTCTCTTGTAACTGATAAGCGGATGAAAAACTAAACTAAATTAAAATTGTATCAAGTCGAGTTCCACATTTCTTAAACTTTAATTACCTTATACAGCTATGCATTGTACTGTTTGTCATATATGGGGACAATCTCTTAGGTCTAAAATATCCATTCTATGCTAGTTGCTAGAACGGAATAGTTTTCATCCACTTGATAGCCAAACTTAAAACAGTGAATATTATTTGCTTTACTTCTAAAATGTGGAAATCATAGCAGTCATCCATCAAAAATTGATAATTGTATTGATCAAAACAGTCTAAACTTGTCTACATTTTGACCATACTCAAAATTTCTTTTTGATTTAAATTTTAATACTCTAGCAGAGATGAGACCCTAGTTTTCTTATAGTGGCCTGCTCTTTTCTGAGAGGCGTTGCAGACAAAATTAATATTATAGATAATTCAGTGAAACAAGGATTATGTTTTTTCTGCAGAGTAACATGCGAAAATTCAGAAAAGCATTTAGAACATTTCTCAATATTTCACATAATTAAGTGAGTTTTATTTAGAGTAACGTGATCAGTACAATTTTTAATTGATCAAAAACACTGTAACTTTTCTCTAATTAATCACGCAGAAATCTTCTAAAAATTCAATAAACTTCTCAATTTTTCATTTTCTGTAGTGTCGTATTTTCAGTGCTCGTGTCATGAAATAAAACGATGAATATATTAAGCACACAGCAAAGAAAGAAAAAACAATAAAATGCACATCACAGCATCCGTCAATTTCCGTCACCAGAAATTAACAGATCCGACTGGTTCCGGCGATCGGATCCGATATCCGGATCCTCCAGGAACCAAATATCGAAAGCGAAGAAACTGAGCAGATTCCGATTTCCGGATCCGATCGGATGCTCGATTTCCGGAAATCACCGGAATTAAAAGGATCCGATGGGGCGAATTCGACCTGGGTACTTCAACTAGACTAAATCTGAACGGTTCAGCAAAAATAAATTCCTATACTAAAAATTTTCAATAAACGGCTTAAAAAATTAGTCTTCCGCACGCCTGGAACAGTAGATTCGCTGTGACACAGTTTTTTCTCACAGAGTTTTGAGACACTTAAGGTCCTAAAACGACTTGATTTTTATATGCACCTTAAGTCCTAGGCATGGGGTGTCAACCGTTTTATAATAAAGTTGAAAAAATTATACTAAACTTTTAAATTTGACTCTATACTTTAAAACTTAAACACCTTATAAAATCCCTTCTTGATGTCAGAACTTCGAAAAAATATGCCATTTTGTAGAGAATTTAATTCCTTATCGAATGGTGTATTTTTCAGTTTTTTCAAGAAACCAGCTAGGTGAGTAATTTAAAATGAAAGCTTTTAAAAATTTTAAAAATAAATTTCTGCATTCAAATTTTTATTTTTGAAAAGGCCACATTCGTAATCAGCGCGAAAAACTGCATCTAATGATGGCCTCAGATCAGTTCTACAATAAAAAACATTTTTGAAAAACTTAATCAGCGAAGTGTCGCGTTACGTGGACAAGCCGTTAACTATACGAAATATTGCAAAATAATTCTAAACGCTCACCACAATTACCTTGTATTATTCAATTGCTTTCCTCTGTTCTTTATTCTTAATTAGCTCTGTAAAATGAGCATATTTTTTGCAGCTAACCATCTATGATATATATTTGAAGAATGTTTTAGATGTTCTTACGTGTATAATATGTATATCTTTCTTATTCATTTCCTACATCATTGGAGTTTTAACTGAAGAAAAGAGATACACTTATGCATTCAACTGCCATAATTAATATTGCAAAATCGATATCGTATGATCTGTCAAAAACAATTTGCATCGTATCTTTTTGTCGTTATCGGTCCAAGCCGATTATCCCACTTCGTCAATTAGAAGTTCTCAGAGTTGACATGTGCCTGTTTGCGTCTACAAATTGTACACTTCTCTCTATATTACGACAAACTTAGTTCCAAATTAGCTAAATGAAGGATCAGATCACAACGTGAACAGGTCTGAATTTGTAAGGTTGGATAGAGCACATCAAGCTAATTAAGAAAAAGTGGTCTTTAATTTTTTTAAAAATTCTTTTAAGAAAGAAAACTGAAAAATTTCGAAGAATCTAAACTTTTGAAAGCTCTTCAGTTTCTAAAAAGTTCAAATGTTTTTCTTCTAATTTGTCAAACGTATCTTTTTCACATTCAGTATCAAACACTGAGTAT